CAAGTGTCCAGCCACCTTTGCTTTCTATTTTTAATTGCCATGTTTCCAGCAGCCCTGTATCTGAAGGCAACACTCTTCTAGGCTTTTTCCGCCGTTGTCCTTACCATCCTTAATATCCTTACCATGTATTTTACTGTATTTACTATGGCATTCTCTGACTGATTAGACTTATTACAGATTATATATTTAAACATAAATACTGGACTTGTTTTCTAATAATGCTGCAAATAACAAACATAACAATACAAAGAATAATAAAAAAAGTTTGCAAAATATCTTTGCAAGTAGTAAAACACCAGTATTGGATTTTAGGGGTATCTATTTGTAGAGCATTTAAAACGCAAAACGCTGCTCTTTCTCGGATAGCGACTCTGATGTACTGGATCTCCGTGTGTTATAGGTGTTCCAGCAGCACAGAGACGACGTAACTCCCAGCTGGAAATCCAGTAAGCATCCTGCCTTAAATCTCCACGCCGGCAGGAGCCTGGACAGAAGTGCACCGGCATGTCTCTTGAACCGAGTAGTAATCAATAACTGGAAGCCATTCCCAGTCTCATAAAACACATTCAACTTAATGCAAAGTAATTAAAAGCAGGAGTGGTATAAATAATCCCAACAGAAAGCTGCTGTAATGCATGGTCTGCTCAGGCACTGTGTCCATTCTATTGAACAGGCCAGACATACTATGCCCTTAATAACCTGCATGTTCCTTGAAGTAGCTGATTAAAAAATGCTATGTCATGCGCTGGCAGTCCGACACCTGCCCCAAGCTCTTTGTATGTGGAGTTTGCATGTCCTCCATAGGTTTGCAATGGTTTTCACCATGTGACAAAGTGACAGTAAATGGCCCACAGTGTGCGATTGCGTGTGTGTGCCCTGCAATAGATTGCAGCGTTGCCCACTCTCACACATCTGGCGACTCTCAGATGCAACTCTCAGTCTCACATTCATGCAAAAAAATCTATACATAATAAATATATATCATTAACAACATAAATTTACAAATGAGAGGGGGCCATTCGGCCCATCAAGCTCGTTTGGGGAGAACTTAACTAATAGCTCAGAGTTGTTAAAAT